GAACATTTAGAATATGGGGTGGGAGAAGTAACAAGAATGAATTCTTGGGATGAAAATTTGGGGACTACTGTTATAGCAGACATTTATTAAGGCTCTACCATCAGTCTGATACTATACTATATAGTTTCACAAACTCCTCAACTAAGTCCCATTTACCCTGTAAGGTCAGTACCATTCCTTCTCACAGGAAAAGAAATGTGTATCTGAGGCTCAGCTAGATTAAGTGGCTTGGTCAAGGGTGGATATTAACTAGTGGGTGGACAATCTGAGATTCTAGCTCATATCATTTGACTTTAAGTTCAACAGTTACTTTTAAAAATGTCTTTATAGTTTTTGTTTTCTTTTAAGGCAAAGAAGCCAACCTACTAATGCAAAATCTGAACAAGTTGCAAACACCTGAAGAAAAGCTTGATTTTTTATTCAAGAAGTATGCTGAACTGGTAAGATTTTTTTATTAACTCTTTGTCAGAAAGGTTCATGTTCAGTTAGAGCTGAGAAAAGGAGGCTGTTAGTTTTTCAGGCACATCATTATAGACCATAACTGGTTACCTCAGACAAGACAAAGCGAGAATTCATAAGAGCAGAATTTTTTTTTTTTTGCAGGAAAAAGAAAGACTGAGGAATAACAGCAGGAGGGGGAAAGAGGATAGAGTTGCCATTTATTCCACCTTCAAGTATGTGTATAAAATGAGGGATGGAAGACAGAAGTGTAGAGAATTGAAAATTGTGGATATTTTAAAGTTCTTTTTGGCACTGCAATAAAACACAAGTACACTCAACATAAAGGCAAACTTTCACTTGGTCTGTGCCCTATTTTTTTGTGGGGGTCCCCTCAAGAAGGCAGAAGTTTAAGTTAATCCCACCTCCTCACTGTGTGACACATTCTTGCTTGGTCTTGACTTTAGTCATTCATTCATTCATTCATTCATTCATTCATTCATTCATTCATTCATTCTCTTTGATCTACATTCTTCTCCCCTTCCTCCACAATGGCAAAGCATTTGATGTGGACTGTTTTGGGCCTAGTTCTAGGTCCTCCACATGCAGTCTCCCTCTCCATAAGTTAGGGCTCCTGGGAGAAAGAGAAGCCACTCCCAGACATCAGAGAATCCACGATGTGCATTATTTCCTCACCAATACTTTTACAATGGGCCAGTTGGGAAAAAAAGGAGCGTTCAATGAAGCCAACATGTCTGGTATCAGTGGACCCTGTCACATGCTTGTGGAAGGAGTGCCGTCACAGGTGTGTGGACCGCCACGGAGTGTGTGAGGCCCACCGCTGAGAAGTGGCATCCTCTCAAGTGAAGCGAGGCAATGTGCTTCTCTCTCGTGTCTGCTTCTTTTCTTTAAAAACAATTTTTTTAGTTACTTATTTCTTTTGGAAAAGCAGTGACAGGAGAATACGTCCACACACAGAGCAAAGCCATTCCTCCAAGGCATTAAGTGGACCTGCTCCTGAAAGCAGGTTTATGTTGCAGCCAACGAAGCTTTAGAGCCTGGACTTCTCACTTGCATGGGCCCCTCTGAGGCCCTGTGCATAATTCTCTTTTCTTAATTTTGTTTTTTTGTTTTTTTGTTTTTAAGAAAAGGACCTCCAAAACCAAATAAGCTTCAGAGACACAAACCCCTCAGGTCCCTGGTTACATCTTATCCCTATGGATGGAGTATTGTTTAATGAGTGACATTTTTTCTTTTTTTTTTTCCACTCTAACTTTAGTTCTGTACTCCCTGTTTGTTCTTTCTTTTATCTTGGCGCATCCTGCTGTGTTGAATTATCATGCAATAGAGCCAGAGAAATTCTGAAACCCTGAATTACTGGCGGAATGCTTAACTCTGCCAACAATACTTTTTAATTATTGTTTTAATCACATAAACTACATCATGATGATATAAGAAAAATGCTGAATATGCAACACAAAAACATTTCTAATCTTATCATCTAAAACACAAACCTTGATTTATCCATCTTCTTTCCCAGTTCTGCTATATAGGCAGAGATACTTTTAACTATAATTACCATCATGAGGTACATATATAGTTGACCCTTGAATAACATGGGGGTTAGGTGTGCTGACTCTCTGCACAGTCAAAATCCATGTGTGACTTCTACTCCCCCCAAACTTAAATACCAATAGCCTACTGTTGACCAGAAGCCTTACCGATAACAGGCGATTAACACTTATTTTGTATGTTATACGTATTATACACTGTAGTCTTACAATAATATAAGCTAGAAAAAAGAAAATTTTATTAAGAAGACCATAAAGAAAATAAATACATTTACAGGATTTACTGAAAAAAGCGAACCCATGCAGTTCAAACCTGTGTTGTTCAAACATCAACTGTAATTTGATGTCTGGTTTTTTGGCTCATATGACAGACATTTTCCCCATGTAGTTGATAGTCTTCATAACTAGATTTTGTAAAAGTTATGTCATTGTCCATTAAGTGGCCATATCTACTGGTTTTCTAATTTGGGGACATTTAGATTCCTTCCACTGTTTTTTTTACCAGCTATGGCTGCAGTGAACCTCTTTACGCATTAGGTTTTTTCTTTCTTTTTCTTTTTTATGAGCTTAGGAAAAAGTTCTAGAATTGGAATTACTAAATCAAACAGTATGAATACTTTTTTTAAAAAGATTTTATTGGGCACGGGACATGGAGTAGAGAGTGAGAATGGAGTCAATGGAATTGTAATAGATAAGCATGATATCGGGGTAGAAGGGCAGTAGATGGGGGAGAGGGGTTGTTACTTTGTGAGGGTGAAAAGGATAACTATTACATTGTTCTATACACCTGCAACTAACAATAAAATTAAAAAAAAAAGATTTGGGGGAATTGGGGGAGGGGAAGAGTGTTGGGGAATTGGGAAAGGGGAACAGACAACTTGCTGTCCTTTTGTTCTTTAGTCTAGTTGTAGAGGACATCGCTTCACTGGCCCATATTGGTATTATCATTGCGCTCTTCCTGGGTGAGTCAGTAACTTGCTGGCCATTGGACAGCCGCTCACGGCGTCTCACGGCTGCTCACGAAAGCTCACGCCAGCTGCCGGCCGGCCCCACTGCAGCCTATGCCATTGCCGGCGACTCACAGCAGCCCAGCTCCAGGTTGAGCTGTTGTTCACCATCTTAGCTGTAGAGGGCGCAGCATCACTGGCCCTCATATGTGGGATCTGAACTGGGGCCCTGCTGCTCAGAGCTGGCATCCCAAGCCAACTCCTAACCAATATGCCACTCAGCCGGCCCATGAATCCTTTTTTTTAAATGACCATACTGCCTTCCAAAAGAATGGTAAAAATTTATAAAGCAAGTATCAGTATATTGATTTTATTGCAACTTATTTAATATGGGCTATTAACCACCCCTGAACGATTTCAATGCCATATAATAAGTTAGGTGTCAAAAATAGTATTTTTCAAAAAAACAAGATACTCATTTTCATCTGTGCATCCTGACTCTTTTTAATATTTTCCCCGTGATCTTCTCTTTGCCCCTTGAATTTACCTACTCATCCCAAGGCCATTCATGTTGAGTTTCTAGTGTATGTTCTGCATTTGGCTGGACTGGACAGCAGTCTAGACTAGCAAAGGAATTCATGTACAGGGCTGCAACCCACAGCAGTATATCGGGGAAGAATCACTCCTTCCTTCTGCCCAAGTGTTTCTTCAGGAGCCAGGACTACTCACCTGGGTCTCAGGGAATTCCTTCTACTCACTCTCCTAGCCAAGCAGTCACCCGCACAGAAGTTATTTTTCCAGAGATCCTACCTCATTCAAGACTGACTTATTATATTTTGGCATTTGTATCATGTCTTATAATAAATTTTAAAAGATGATTCTAGAAAAAATAAATAGGAAGAGATTGACCAAAAAAACCCATTAAATTTCCTCTTCAGAGAGGAAAAATTATGAGGACTTTCAATCTTTTACTTGGAGACTAATACCTATTTCCCTGCTCACTGATTTGGATGTTAATATAGAAAGTGTCATCTGAAATATAAGTGTTAAATAGAATAAATCATCATATTCAAAGCTGTGAATCAAACTGTCACTCCAGTTTACTCATCCTTACAGGTTCTCAATCCTGTAATATTATCTACTGTACCATTCATTAATAAATAAGGATAAGTTCATTAATAAATAAGGACAGCCCATGACTAGATTAAGAAATGATCAAGGAGAAATTTTTTTTGCAAATTTCCTCAACTTTTAATGTAGTTATAACATCACTAATACTACTCTTATTTACTGCTTGGTATTAATTTTACTTGTTTAAATTAATAAAAAAAGAGAGAGAAAAAGAGAAACTGAAGATAATAATCTTATATGCCTATTACAATTGTACAGAACTGTGTCAAAGTTATTATTAAATCACAAAGCCAGCACTTGACTGAAGTTGACTCAGTTACAATATGTTTGTTTTCATTCATTAAGAAACCCCATATGCATTCACATAAGTCTGAAGTATTTAAACAAAATTAGCCACATTCTAAAATAAAAAGCTGTCAGAGAGTTAAGCATCTCTTTTTAGAATGAAGCAAGATGGACCTAGCTAAATTTCAGATGTGCATGATCTTGCAGTAAAACAAGAACATTAAATGGTCAATGAGCAACACAGATGATCTCTTCCAGCTTGCGAAACTCATGTAAGGCTATCCTCCTGACACTCAGATAAATCACACAGGGCAGTGCTCCCCAAAAGGGGGCAGTTTGCCCACCATGGCACAACAGGCAATGTCCATCTGGAGATACTTTGGATATCACAAGTGAGGTGGGGGGGGTGCTACCCCATCTAGTGGGTAGAGGTCAGGGATGCTGCTAAACAGCCTACAATGCACAGGACAGACCCCACAACGAAAACTTATCTGGCCCAAAACGTCAATAGTGCCAAGGTTGAGAAACCCTCACACATGGTTTAACCTTCAATAGGTAAAGACTAAACCACAATGGCAATAACAGTCATAACAACATATAAATTTCAAGAAAGGACAATAGGTCATTTAAAGTCAGAACTTAAGCAGAAGTTTCACCCCTAATTAATAACTATGGTGCACAATGAAAGGACCTCATCTGTCCTATGACTAGAAGGTTAGCATGAAAAATATATAATAAAATATCACTGATTTTCCAATTGAACCTCAAGAAGGATATCAATTCTAATCAATATTTATAGTGATATGAGGCTAGTTTTACTGATGCTAATTCTCACTAATAAGTAAAAATTGCCCGTAAGTATGAAGATAGAATATCACGTATGAATATCCCCAGCTTAATCTGGCAAGGGTTTATAACGGACATCTCAGTGTGGCGGGGGGGAGGGAGGAAAGGAGTAAAATGATCTGTGAACTGAAAAAAGTGTGACAGTTCTGTTCTTCTAGTTCAGAAAGAACAAGTGCTTTAAGATGGAGAAACTGAGACACATATCAGGGCTCATGTCATGTGTGTATCTATTTGTACCACTATGCGAGGCACCAGAAACACCTGGGGTCCTGAAGCATCCAGATGCTCCCCAAGGCTTCTTCTCTTCATTAGCCAACAAGCTCATTATTAGAACGAGTACCTACCTGGCTTAAGCACCGTTCAGGCACTCAGGGAACTGAGTCCAGCAGAGGAAATGGCTCTGGCTCACAGGCTGCCACCTGCGTGTGGTCACACTGTCAGTCTGAGACCCACACTCCTAGAATACGCTAGTTTCTGGTGGCTTCAGAAGGTTGATCCCCAAACTCCCCCCAGCCCAACTAGAATTCCATAAAAATGTTACCAAACTTAGCAAATAAAAATACAGAATGCCCAGTTAACTTTTCATGTCAGGTACACAAACAACATTTTTTTGTTTGTTTGTTTGTTTTTAGTAAAGGTATGTCCCATGCATTACTTTGGATATATTTTCACTAAAAAATTATTCCTTATTTATTTGAAATTCAAATTTAACTGGGTGTCCCACATTTTATCTGGCAACCCTACCCTACAACTTTAGCATCTGAGATGGCAAGTTCAGGGGTACACTGATTCCATTTTCCATGCTGCCCCTGACACTTTATTTAGTTTTACTTTTGTCTTTAATCTTTTATTATCTCTTTTATTATCATTATTATCATTATTAGTTTCAGGTGTATAAAACAATGTACTCGCATCCCTGACCCTATAGTTACACTGCTGGAGGAGTGTGAGAAAAGGCCCCACCTGTGCTCAGCAGAAACAATTACGACTTATTTGCCATTAGCACAGAGGGTATGTGGTGGGCATATTACAGATGCAAGCCATTGATGGTGCTGAGTTGCGCAGTGGCTATTTCTGAAACTCTGGTGACAGATCGCTAATATTTAGATAGTCAGGGGGTACTTTGTCTTCTCCCCCTTTCTCACAACCCACAGACTTCATCTTCTATTTCCCAGAAAGGCTGCTTTTCCCTTTCCTATTTTTAAAAATAGTTGCTATAAGCTCATTTTGAGAAAGACTATTGAGAATTAAACGTAAACCATGCAGACACGCTGTTGACCATTGCCCCGACACAAGGCATTAATTATCATGACTTCTGGCAGTTTACAGATCCTGAGACATGCCTTTCTAATACAGCCCGGCATCATTAGATAGACTCAAAAAAGCTAAAGCTATTTCTGGACCACAAAAAAAGATCAAATTAAGAAGAAATCAATAATAATAGTGATGGTAAAGAAAAACCTGTAATTGTTATGCTCTAAAACTGTACTACAAAGGTAACATTGGTGAGATTCATTTGATTTCAGAAGGAAAGGGATAATAGTAAAAAAAAAAAAAAATTCTTTCCAAACAACCACAGAGTGATCTTTAGACATTTCCTCTTTTGCTCTTGTTTTATCAACTCAAAAAAGATTCCTGCCATGTTCTTTCACATTTGCATGCCCATGTCTAGTTGGATGAACATCGCACTGAGCAAAAGACCTTAAAGCTTCTACAAAAGAAACAGGTACAAATCCAAAAAGAAAAGGACCAGTTACAAAGTGAACACAGCAGAGCTGTCCTCGCTCGAAGCAAACTGGAGAGCCTGTGCCGGGAGCTGCAGAGACATAACAAGACCCTGAAGGTATGTAGCACCAAGGCCTGCATGACACACACCTCCTTGCATGCTGCACAGCCGCAGACTTCTGCTCATGAGAGAGCACAAGTTTTAGAATCTGAGAGGCTTGGGTTCACGTATTAGCCCTGCCACTTGCTCACATGTGACCTTCAGTGAATTATGTTACCTCCCCAAGACTGTTTCCTCATCCATAAAATGGGGATTAGATCAACTTCACTGTGTGGTTGGGGAGAAACTAAATGAGGGCACATTTGAAAGGTGCCCACACAGTGTCTGACACAGAGCAGGCCCCTGTAGAATGTGTGCCATTCCCCGTACCTTTTTCTTATGTTCAGCTTGTTCTGCTTTGTTCTTTAAGGTAGGCCTCAGTTCTACTCTTTAAAACACAAACTTGTAAAAATGCAACATTTTATTGTATGATAATGAAATCTGCATGACACGAACTAAATTGACACAAAGCTAATTGACACGGTAAAGCAAAATCGAGAGCCAAAATGTCAATAGTCATCTGAAAAAAAGAAGCTACTTGAAAAAACACTGAAGCTCTTCAGGCTTGATTATTCAATCTAAGAATAATAGACTGATCACTTCATTCTGTCTGCATGGGTTTCATTAATTACACATAAGCCTCTAGCAGTGTGGTTAATTTGATTACACACAGACACTAGCCTCATTCAATAGAGCAAGACGCAGGGCTCTCCAAGATAATACTGCACACGTCCACAATCCCTTTTCCAGCTGAAGATCCGAAAGCTCTTGACAAACAAGAATTAATTAGACCAATATTCCTGTGAGAGAGTTAGCATTACATGTGTTTAAGAGGAGATACTTAAAGAAACAGAGAGATTAAGATCATTGCTGAGTTCGTACAATGAAGTTAGGGGAAAAAGGCAGAAGAGGCTAATAGCTCCTCATATTCCAACAATGTTTTTTGATATCTGGGAAATAGGAGGCCAGTGGGATGAACTCTAACTCTTGAATTATGAGTTGTACATAGGCGATGGGCTTCTGGCATCTCTTCAAATCATTGTTCTAGGCACAATTGAACCCCAGATTGGATGGGGGACTGGGAATGGGAACATCATTTCAACTCAAGACATGTGTTCAAGTAATAGTGCTCTGTGTTTACGAAAATCTCCTGGCTTTCAGCAGTGTTGTATAGTAAGGAGGTATGTTAAATCAGATATAGTGGGAAGATTTATCAACAAGGAGTTTTAAACAGCAAATGATGTGGCTTGGTCTGTTTGGGTAGCATACAAACACAGAGTGATGGAAGTGGCCAGAGATACTGTAGGTATCCTCACATACCCTCAATAATGCTTCCAGTTACGGACAATGAAACTGTCATTATTATTCCAGGACTTGTTCTAAGTGCTTTACAGATGTTATTTTATTTAATCTTCACAACAACCTTATGAAGGTTAATATCTCCATTTTATGGAAGAAACTGAGACTCATCAATCCAAATCAGTTGTCCAAGGTCACACATATTTTAAGTGTCAAAATCAGGTTTCAAATTCTAAATATTTCCTAATTTCTCTTCTGATTTTTTTTTTCTTTCACCCAGGGATGATGTAGAACTGTTTGTTTTTATGGCCCATCATATATGATCTGTCTTGATGAACATATTATGTGCACTTGAAAAGAAGGCCTGTTCAAATGTTAGGTATAATGTTGCATAAGTAACAATTAGCTCTAGATCATTTATATCTTTACTGAATTTTTATCTAGTTGATCCATCAGTTGCTGAGGGATGGATGTTAAAAATCTGCTAGCATAATTGTGGAATTGTCTACTTCTTTTAATTATGTCAATTTTTGCTTTAATGAATTTTGAAGCTTTAATATAATGTATTTACATAGTTATGTAGGTTGTGTCTCCTTGATGACTTGACTGTTTTATCACTATGAAATGCCCTTTAGTAATAATCTTTATCCTGATGTTTACATTATCTGATATCAGTATAGCCACTCCAGTTTTCTTACTCTTATTGCTTGCATGGTATTTCTCTTTCAACCTGAGAGTTTATATTTAAAGTGCATCTGCTATAGACAGTATGTAGTTGGACTTTGCTTCTTTTAAGTCTTATAGTATCTGGCATTTAATTAGAGTACTAGTCCATTAACATATAATGTAATTGTTGGAGTGACTGGATATATAGCTACCATTTTATTATTTATTTACTGTTTGTCACCTCTGTTTTCGGTTCTTTTACTGCCTTCCTTTGGATTATTTGAATATTTTATAAATTCCATTTTAATTTATCTCTTGGATTTTTTAGTGGTTGCTTTATGATTACTATATACATTCTTAACTTTTCACAGTCTACCTGGAGTTAACGTTGTATCACTTTACATAATATGTAGAAACAAGCAACTAAAGTCAATTTACTGGCTCCCATTTTTACACTATAATTGTTATAAGTATTACATTTACATACATTTACAAAGCCATGAGACATTATAATTTTTTAAAAAATTGATATAGAGTGCCAAAAAAAAATATATATATATATATATATATATAGTGCCCAAAAAATGTATACACATTTTAAGAAAGGAAAAAAACTGTATTAATTGCAATACTTAATATATACCAATAACAAAAGATGAATACAAGTCACGTGTGACTTCTGCAATGACAAGAGGTGCTCAAAGTGGTGACCTTCAGCGTCCAGACACTTCTCATTACAGCGAACTACTGCTTGAGCATAGATAACATCTCTTAAAATGTGTATACATTTTTTGGCACCCCCTGATGTGTGTGTGTGTGTGTGTGTGTGTGTGTGTGTGTATCTTTTAAAATTAAAGGCAAAGCTATCTCTTTTTTTACCCAGATATTTACCTTTCTGATGTTTTTTGTTTCTTCTGAATCTTTGCATTTCTGTCTGGTATCATTCCCTTTAGCCTGATGAACTAACTTTAGCATTTCTTATAATAGTACAGAGCTGCTTGTACTCCGTTCTCTTATTTGTTTTTTATCTTTAAAACGTTTTTATTTTGCTTTCATTACTGAAGGCTATATTCATTGGATATAGAATTCTAGGTTGACAAGGGTTGTTTTTTTTAATTATTTTTCTTTCTCTCAGCCTTTTATAGAATCTGTATTCTGACCTCCATAATTTCAAAATAGAAATCAACAATAATTTGAATTTTTATTCTCCTGTATGTGATATGTCCTTTACCTCTGGCTACTTTCAGGGTTTTTCTATTGGTTTTAGTTTTTAGAACTTTGAGGGCCTTATGCCCAGGTGTGGTCTTCTTCATATTTATCTTATTTTAGATTTTCTGAGCTTCTTGTATCTGTAATTTATACCGGGGATGCCAAAAAAATGTATACAAGTGGACACTTTGGTCAACGTAGCTCAAGCAGTAGTTCACTGTGATCAGAAGTGTCTGGACACTGATGGTAACCACTTTGAGCATCTCTTGCAATTGCAGAAGTCAAACGTGACTTGTATTCATCTTTTTTATCAGTATATATTGAGCATTACAATTCTAATACAGTTTTTTCCTTTCTTAAAATGTGTATGCATTTTTGGGGCACTCTGTATATTTCACTAAATTTGGGGAAGTTTCAACCATCATTTCTTCAAATATTTTTTCTGCCCCATTCTCTCTCTTTTCCTTCTAAGATTCTAATTCTATGTGTGTTAGACCTTTTGATATTGTCCCACAGGTCCTTGAATCACTCTTCATGTTCTTCACCATTGTTTTTTCTCTTTCTTCTTCAGTTAGATCATTTATATTGGTCTAACTTCATAGTCACTAACTGTTTCCACTCCCGTCCCTATTTTGCTCTAAGTATACCCAGTGATATTTAAATTTCATATTTGGTAACTTTTCACTTCAGAATTTCCATTTGGTTCTTTCTTTTAGATTATTTTTCTCTCCTCAGATTTCCTATTTTTCAAGACAATATTTTCCTTTATATCAATGATCATAGTTATAATATTTGTTTTTAAATTCTTGTTTGTTAATTCCAAATCCGGGTTATAATGGAATATGCTTGTTCTGATTATCTTTTCTTTTGACAATGGATCATCATTTTTTGATTCTTCAAATGTTAATTATATCTGAAGGATATTTATATCTGTTCTTATATCTGTAGATTATATCCTGGATGTTGTGGCTGTTATGTTGTAGAGAATATGGATTCTACTATACTCCTTGAAAAATGTGGGGGTTTTGGGGGGTTTTTTTAGGTAGGCAGTTAACTGGTTAGAGTCAAACTACAAACTCTCTCTCAGGCAGCAACTCAAATCTTAGATAATTTCTTTTTCCTTAGCTAGAATGCTTTGAGTCTGCCCTTCATAGATGTTGTTCAGGGTCAGCCAAAGATTTGGGCAGAGTTTATTCACAGAATTTATGGCTCTCTCACTCCGAGTCTCTCTTTCATGGGAATCGCCCCTCACCTTCCAGAAGCTGTAGTTGCTCAGAACTCTGTACTTATATTCTTCAGACCAGGAAGATGGCTGGTTCTCTATGCGAGTTTTACTCATTCCATACAACTGCCAAGTATAGTCTTTCCTCAAGCTAAAAACTGGGAAACTTAACAATGTACCATTCACTTTTTGCAGGTGTCACCTTCCCGCCAGAATCTGCCTGATTTTGTTTACTCTCCAGTGTCTTTAAGTAGTTCTTTCTTGCATTCTGTCCAGAGTTTATAGTCATTATCTGCAGAAGGGTGCTATAATCTTCCTTGACCATACTAGTGAAACGGCCTAAGTATACCTGAATTGAAAATCCATGTGCTAGGAGCTTGGGAAAACGTAGAAAGAGAATGCATAGCAGGCTATTTTGTAAAATTTAAATTTTACTGCTCCTTATTAAAATTGATTCTTCAGTGAAGGGGAAAAAAATACACCTCCAAAAAACCTCACAATATAGGATAACTTAGAAAATGACCAGTGGAAATCTGAGATATGGGCTTATTTCAACAAAATATTACATATATTTGAAGCAATAAATCTGAGCCTCAAATTATACTGAAAAAAAAACTGCCTTGCCAGAGTGGGTGCCTCAGAGAATATGATTTTAGTATAGGAATAAGTAGTATTTGTTATCAGAATATTACAAAATTTTAATGTGGAAAGAACTATAAGAAATCCAGTCCAAGCTACTCTTATGTCTATATGTAAATTAATAATTCATTGATTCATTAAATAAACACACGTACAGAACACCTGTGGGTCACAATCCAGGCACAGCACCCATTCTTAGATGTACAATGATGTTTGCAAAGTTTGTTTTCTTAGGTATTTCAGAGTTTGTCTCTCAACCTTCTTTGCATTATTAATTTTTACTTTGAATTATGTGCTTGATAAAGAAAAGAAATTTTTCTCACTGTCCAAATGATTGTATTTTCTTTATCAATTTGGCTCAATTTTGTAAGATTGTGCTAGATTTTATTTTCTCATTGAAAAAACAACACAATATAAAATGTAAGATGTCATTTTGTGAGCCAACAATGGGTGCTATGTTGGTGTGACATTTGTTTAATGCCATCATAACATACACACCTCCTTTCTGTAGCCAGCTGCCAATGAAAAACTCAGAGTTGCTGCATAGCATGAGATGGTTCTTTCATGTATTCATTCATTCATGGTTGGAATAGTCATAAATGCAAATGGTATTCAGATCATGGTCTGTAATTCTATGACTAGGAACTTGTTGACTTCTAAGCTAATCAGTAGTTATGAAGAAACAATCACTATCACATGTATATTCAATTGCTCTTAACAAATGGCCACAATCATTTTCAGTGAAATTATGTATAAGTGTTAGCATACAAAGTTCAGGGAAATAACATCTCTGATAGTTAATTTCTTCAGATTAAAAAGTACAGGTATCTTCTACAATATCCCTAAGATACTGTCATCCAAGAAATGTTTATACCATGAATAAATTATGATTCTGGTATCAGGAGTCATATTAGAGTTAGAAACTCTATGTAAATATTGTACATGAAAGAGGGCACTTTATGATAAATTAAAATATTTCCAGAGCATATATGGCCAGCATCAGTTTTTATTTTGATCACATTATTCTACTATCATAATAAGGATTTGCACAATTACTTCTGTTTACATCATTATTCCTTTTTTTAATATTCTGTTACACAATTTGATCATGGTCAGCAAGTAAATGCAGTATAATTTTACTTGCCAACAATGAAGCAAGCTTTCATAATAACAATTAATCAGAACTGAAAGGAATCCTAAAATGTCTGTATCACTTGTCAGCACTGTTCGTGTAGCTTTGGTATGATGTAGCAAGATTAAATCCTTTCCTTCTAAAAGAATGAGAGGAATAATCACAAAGCAAACAATACTCAATATAGATACGGGGGAGATTTGGGTACATTGTTAGTTAGCAATGAAGGGAGAGTTTTGATGTAGGAGAAAAGAGAACAGAAACGATACAAAAGTTAATTACCAATTCTTGAATGTTAAAGCAGAAGAGGGGAAAATTAGATGTTTCATTTTAGATTTAAAGAAGATTTGACACTTAATATTGCTTTCAGATTCAAAATTTACATTGAATGTTTCAATTACCCTACATGATATGTGGGATGATTGGTCTTCAGAAATAAAATATCCAGCATATTTTTTAATATTTCCTTTTACATTCTTGAATTGCTGTAATTTATCTCTAGCTGTCTTAGTTTCCTTGTCAAGCTTTTTGATGCAAGTTTTTTTTGCCAAAATAGTTTATGTTGTGATCACTTATATTTACAAAACTTGGGTGATACAATTATGTGGTTAATATGCCATAATTTTTAGAGAAGAATATAAGACCTATTCTTTCTTTACCAAACCAAAAGAATGCATGATCTGTCTCATCAATCAGTAAAACTGAGTGCCCTTTCTTCCAGGCCACAGTCAAGAGAGCAAAAAAACGGGCAACTGCATGTTTATTAGAAATCGCTGCAGTTTATTCACTCAGCAGGAGACCTATCATCTTTAAAACAAGCCTATTCATCACCAGCTATCAAATTCAAGACTCTCACTGCACCTGCTCTGAGGGACTGTGTGTTCACAACTGAAGCCTTTACTCATAGATTTATTTTGGGGCTGAGCAACACTAGCTCTAGAGAACTGAGAAAAAAATATCCCACTTCCCCTGCACGCTAATCTCCTTTTGTTGACTGTAACCCTGAGCTCTGCAAACCCGGGGTGATGTAAACGAGGAAACCCAAAGATTTTGCTTTTTTTTCTCTGCAGGAGGAAACTCTTCAGCGGGCACGTGAGGAAGAAGAGAAAAGAAAAGAGATCACAAGTCATTTTCAGAGCACGCTGACAGATATCCAGGCCCAGATTGAGCAGCAGAGTGAGCGAAACATGAAGCTGTGTCAGGAGAACACAGAGCTCGCAGAGAAACTGAAAAGCATCATTGATCAGTATGAGCTCAGAGAGGAGGTGAGAGCCATATCACACGACTGAGAACACTGCATGCAGATCCTGACCCCAGTTGAGAAGGTGGGGGATGGGGCTAATCAGAAAGCTATGGCCAACCTTCTCAACTGATTAATATTTAGGATTGGATGTCTCCTACGAGCCAAATAAAACCAGATGGTATTACAAAATACCTGGCTGAAAGTATGGAATTTCCTCAGAACTGGAATCACTGCAAAGCAAAGACAATAAATAGAAAGTGGTAGGCTGTGAGCACAGTTATCCTTGAAAACAGTACTTCTCAGCCTTTTTAACTTTCTGCAGAGCCAAGAAACATCACACACACTCCCTCTTAAGAATCGTCATGTCATTAAGGGTCTGTATTCTATATACCCCACAAGCCAGTACCAGTCAGTATTAGTAATGGAATAAATATAATTATAATGATATTATTTATTCAGAGCTTAGTGTGTGCCATATGCTAAGAATTATGCATACAATGTGTCATTTAATTGTCTCAAGAATCTTATGCACAGGATAATAATATATTATCCATATTTTATAGATGGAAGCAGGCTACGAGACTAAATCACTTATCCATAGTCACAAAAGCCAAGAGAGCTTTGCTTTCAATAGTTTACATTAGGGGAACTATAAGGATCTTTTATCGTGCCAAAATTAGATTTTAATATTGAAAATGTTTTTAAGACTCCAGATGTGCCTTCAGGATTTTGAGATATCGTATTTCTTCCCCCATCGCACCCAAATTTGAAGGCTGTTTTAAAATGTAACATAACATAGTCAAAGGGGCTCTGTTGGCAACACGCTAAGATTTTGTCAAGGAAACAACTGAGCCAATAGCACACGGTCACAGCACTTAGGTAAATGGAGAAACTTCTCACAGTAAGCCAAAAGGCCATGCTACCCTTTCACCCTGTCACGAAGATCAAGCCCGCTGCACAGTGGAGGTTTGGGCCAAAGCAAAATGGAAGGAGCCAAAAAGAAAACGGCTACACTCTTCCGAAAGATCTCAGATGGGAAAGGCCTGGTAGACTGGTTGTATATTCCCGGGACTGGTTCTACATAACACCCAAGGATAGAATTCCACATGTCCTTTTGCCAATCGGACCCCCTAATGACCAAGAAACTCTCCACTCTGAGGTAGAGTTAGAAGCTTCTCCTCACCAAGCCAGTGGAGAGATCAAAACGTATAGATGCACACAGTGGCACGTTTGCATATTAATACATCTGTGACCTTGGCCTTGTCTTACCCACCAGCGCAACAGAGTTGAAGTCAGGGGGCTCTGGCCTCAGTCCCTGACCTAGAGCCACATGGTACCCCAGAGCTTCTTCCCAACCCTTGAGGCAAGAGTGCGGAGCTGAATTTACCATGATAAATTGTATTAATGTTGTGCTTAAATGTGGTTTTATATTCATAGAAAGAGCCAAAATACTGAGTGACAGTGTTTAGCCCTTGTGATGTATATTGCTATCTGTGCTGCCTAGCATAATTAGCAGCATCATATCTAATAGTTACCAAATTTAGAAAAATAATGTGACCTTTGGAGTTATTTGCTGAATTCCGGCACCTCTACCTTTTGCCACCATGTTTGCATAATGCAAAATGCAGAGGACTTCACCAATTTATGGCTTTTTTACAAAGCATTAAGTGATGCCAATGTATGCATTCCCCTCTTTTTTTAAATCTTAAAACCTGGAGAACGTGTGTTTATGTGAATATTACTATTTTATTTTCCGTTTTTCAGCACCAATAACAAGTCAAGCTTGATATGTGCTCTTTATTTTTTCCTTAGCATCTGGACAAAATATTTAAACACAGAGAACTGCAGCAGAAGCTGGTGGATGCAAAACTTGAGCAGGCACAAGAGATGATGAAGGAAGCCGAGGAGCGACACAAACGCGAAAAGGAATATGTACCTATCATTTGAGTCCGTGTGCTTGTCTGGTCTGGTGCGGAGAAAGTTATTTTTGAGAAGGGTCACAGAGCCCTACACTGATGGAGAAAGAGCCTGAGCTTCCCTGGAGACTAAATTGGCCGACCCAGTAGGAGGCACTATACCTAAACTATTTTCTACATAAAATAATCATGTGCCCATTCAGGAAATCTTTCTCAACTGCCTGTCATGTGCTAAGCACCATCCTGGGTGCTGGGGTTATAGCCGTGAACAAGGCGGAGAAGGCCGTGACCCAGCATGGAGACTAGTGTCTAGCTGGGAAGAGACAGGCAATTAACAAACAAACAAGGAAGGGTCATTTCAGATAATAATAATTGCAACTAGGGCAATCGGAGGAACTGAGAGGGGCAGAAGGAAGGAACCTACTTTAGACTGGGGGACCAGGAAGGTCTCCCCTCGAGGAGATACTTGAGCTGAGCCCTGCTCGCTGAGAAGGAGTCAGGGAGGGCTCCAGCAGCAGCAGCTGCAGCCGCGACAAAGGCCCTGATGCTGGAACCAGTTTAGCATCCTCCAAAAACAGGAAGAGGTCAGCGTAGCAAGAGTATGTTCAGTCAGTGGGAGCAAGTTTCAAAATGAAGTTGAAGAGATAAGCAGGAGTCAAGTTGTAGAGCTTTGCAGGCTTGCAAAGTAGTTTAGATTGTATTCTAAATATAATGGGAAAGGATTGGGTAGTTTTAGCAAAGGAAGCGATGTGATCTGTTTGGCATCTGTAAAAGATGAATTTGGCTCCTGGGTGGAAAATGAACTAAAGAGGGACAAGAAAGCAGGACAGTTAGGAGGCTACTGCAGCAACGTGGACGAGCTATGATGACGGCTTGGCTTAGAGAGGTGGCAGCTGTGAAGGAAAGCTGGATATGGATGAAAGTTATGTTTTCAGTGTAAAACCAGCAGGCCATGCTGTGAACTGAAGATGGCGACAGGGAGGAAAGGGAGGAGTCAAAGAAGACTCAATAGTTTTGGGGTTAAGAAACGCAGTGGTGTCTTTTACTGACATCTCATTAACCCCAGATGCTCCAAGACAGCTAGCTGTAAGGCCATTCTATAGACAAGAGGCTCAAAGAAAATGTGCACCTTGCTTAAGGTCACATATTGCTTGGCAACCGAAATGTGTTGTATACCCAAGTGTGTCTTCCCCCAAACCCTAGCCCTGTGACAGTACATTACACCCAGAGGTGTGTTTCAGAGGTGAGAGTTGAAGTGTGTGTCTATTGCCAGGGAGAGAGAATGATTTAAGGCACAGTCAATGGACCAATCATTGGAATTTGGCCATTTAACAATTGATCACAAACTTTGCCTTTACCTAAAATTAGACCAGAATCACTTCAATTTGTTAGAATAATCATTTTTTAATAACTTTGGTTTTCAAATGTAGCCACAAAAAGACAAATTTTGGAGAACATAGCCTAGTAGACATTGACTAATTCCAAATCAGAAGTCCATGTGCTCTTAATAAAAAGGTTAAATGATTAAAGCCATCTATAACCTAGCTCTCAAAGTAAGAAAAAAAAATTTAGTTATTATTCATATCCAGGAAAATAGGTGCTCCACTGTTGGCATAATTACCCTCCTAGGTAACATATGCTTCCTAAAGGATATGAGTACTTTTGGTATAGAATAGATGAGACATGACAGAGGAATGACTAGGCAAAGATTCACAGGAGGGAGGCTGAGGGGCAGACATGGGGGTGACCCAGCCTTAGCAAAAAACGACCACGCTATGTATTTTTCTACCCTGGTTTGGCAACACATTGCCAATTCTGAGTCAAAGAAAGATAGCCCCCTTCAGTTCATCAGAACTGGCCAGCCACCTGCCCAGTTTCTAGCTCTGATACTTCTTTCCGAAAGTGATGAAATATCATGAAGCTGGGAGGTTTTTCACTCCAACTAGAAAAGGCAGCCACCTGCCTCCTCTCCATCAATGACCGCCCATCACAACAGGTCTCCTCAACCTGTTTAGGAAAGCAGGGACCAGGTATGGGGCCACCATGCCACTCAGGTGGTCAAAGGGGGCACTGTAGGTCTTCTACTTCACAGCTCCCCAGACCTCTCCAATTATTGCACTTCTACAATACTTCATTTGCACAGCATGCTGGGAGGTACAGAGGAACATGTATAACCCATCTTACGAATGGAGAGGTGGAGCCATGGGAAAAAAACAAACTTGGATAAGAAAAAAGATGCCTTCAGGTTTTTAAAAATAATGATTTCATTATTTTCTTTGTTGTTGTTCTGATTACCAAAGAAATACATGAACCTCATGGATACTTTTTTAAAGTAAAGATAAATAAAAAGAAGAAAATTGAAATCAGCTCTCTTCAAATATATTAGAATCTTAACTTACAGCCACCTGCCTGACTAACCGGATTAATCCATGACGTTCACCATTCTCTCTGTAAATGCACTGACAGATGCCCACAGCATGTCAAATCCTGTGGCTAGTAACTCACTCTAGATTGTCTACACATGGTTGCCCCCATGAAGTAAGATGGCGCAGATCAACAACCAATGAGCCCTTTGCTCCCAAACCTTTTCTTTCTAGTTATCCTTATTTTTGCATTATGTAAATCAACAGAATCATACATTAGCTGAAGCAATACAAGTGTGAAAATAAAGAGTTGTTTCTATGAAAACTATGCTTAATGCTTTGAAAGACTAGACCTAAGCAAACAGCAAGAAACAATTGTCAAATTAGATGTGAGTAGCTATGAAAACTGGGAGAAAGTTGTAAAATTCTAGAGAATTAAACAATCTAGTGGTTTCACAAGTATCTTTAGGTTCCAGCATATTTGCTTAAAGAATAAAAAATATTCTAAATCTACATGGCACATTATGGATATGATTTTTGTAAAAACAAACCCCTCTGAATTCCAATCTGAAAGTCCACACCCAAAACAAAGGCCAGAGCCCTATATCAAAGCGGATAGATGAACAGGCATCTTAAAATAACATGTTTTACATGTGTGTCATTTTTATGACTAAAGCAATTTTTCTCAATATAGCCCCTCAGCTCCCAGTTCTGATTAGGTTTCACATGAGGGACCTTGGTTGTATTTGAAGGGCTACCTTAAGGAAAAGGGGACTTACTTTGCAAACTTATACAGGACTTATTTTGTAAACCTTAAATAGGATTTGGGACAATAGGTCAAATTTCTAATCCAGTGTTTTTCAAAATGTAATCCATGGACCACCAATACCTAAACCATCTTGGGTATTTGCTTTAAGTACAGATTCCAATCACACACGAATTAATTTCTAACTCATAGCCTCTGAGAGGGATTTGCATTTTAGCATGTGCCCTAGGAGATTCTGATGTATGCTCTGGTGAACCGGGGCCTAGGAGTCTAACTCCGGGTTTAACCTAAAGGAACAGTGACTCACAACAGTGCCCCAGGTGGGGATGTTCTGGACATATTCAAGCACAGGCCAAATAATGGTTGGGCAGGATTTCGAGAGAAGGTTCCAGAATTTGGTGGGAGGTTGAATTTTGTGCGATTAATGCTTGAGTTGAAGATGATTTCTCTTTTTTTCCCAATAGAGTCACTAATTTTTAGTTGAGAATCCAACTTTTTAAATGAGTTGTTTTCTTAGATTTCTTAGATTCTTTCCAATGTTCCCAAAATATTACTTAAGAGGGTTATTAAGTTTATGCAAAGTTTATACAAATGACAATTTGTATAAATTTGTAATTTAAAAGACGAAATGACAGTCTTTCCATGCATCCTGTCTCCTCACAGCTGCTGAACCAGGCAGCAGAGTGGAAACTTCAGGCCAAAGTGCTGAAGGAACAAGAGACAGTCCTGCAGGCTCAGGTGAAGTGTGTGTGTTTTGGGGGGGGAGGGAGGCAAGGGGGACAACAATGCTTGGGGTGTGCTCGCCTTGTTCTACCCAAGAGGCTGTGAACCAAAGGTGGCAGGGGGTGGAGGGACAGGAGTTGTAAATGAAGACTAACTTTGTTTATTATTAAGTAAGAATAAAAGCACAATGTATATCTAAGAAAAAGAAACGCTTTTGCACCAACAACATGCAGTCAAAAGGTTTGTTGACATGCGCATGAGAGCCCCCGAATGGTCCATGAGAACAAGCTGGCATCCAGGTTCCTGCCTATCTGCTCGTATGTCTTCTCTCTCCCCTCCCCTATTACCCTATTAAGGTAAGAATAACGTGTTAAGTGTGCATATGCGCCATCTATAACTGTCAATACTGAAAGTGTTCTGACTCATTTGATATTATTTATAATAAAAGGAATTTAGAAAACTAGAGTCAGCGCCCAAGTTTTTCGCTATCAGAGGTTGGCCTTGTCAGTGGCGAATGACTAGAAATGGTGGACAAGTCAGGAGCCATTTTGATTTGGCTTCCTGATGTCATGTGCTTGTTTTAACTAGACTGTGGGGATTCAAAAATAAAGCCTCATGCAACAGCTGACTCGGGGGGAAAGCCAGACCTGTCCGTCTTTCCTGCATCCTGGGGAATCTGCATCTCCTGGCAAACACTCCCTGTCAGGTTCCAGGAGAGCCATCCTGCCATGGGTCACTAGGGGCGGTAGCTCCCCAGCTGGGAGAAATGCTGAAGGAGCTGTGAAATCACAGAAAGCAAATTCACAGAAAGTGCCCTTCCAGGCTGGGCAGCATTAATCCAAGGTTTGGGCAATTCACTTGTAAATGTTTATGTGCTGACTGCTGAATACTTGTTCATTAGAAAACAAAACCAAACAAAAAAACAAAACAAAACACACACACACACACACACACACACACACACACACACACAAACCTTGTTCATTCCTTGAATGAAGAAGTGTAATGAATACTTGTTCATTGTAAAATAAAAAGCAAGTAAGAAAAATAACATTGTTCAAATCACCAATTATACCACTGCACAGACAAAATCACTGATAACATTTAGCTATCTAACCTTTCTAAAGCATACTTTTCCGGTGTGTGTACCAAATGCAACAATGAATTGTTTCCCCCAATAAGATATCAAAATAGTTTTAAAATCGTAATTACATAGACATAGACATTGGAGCCATAATGTTTTTGACTATTAATAGAAGGAAAGGACCCAGAGTTAAAAGACCAAACTCTAGAGTTACAAGCTCAAGATCACCCTTCCAGCAGCCACAGAACCCATTCTATCCTGGTGCGGGGTAGGTGGCACGCTGGGGCAGGCAGGGGGAAAGGAGGAGTGGCCTCACTGTCATAGCAGGAGTCCAGAGAAGCTAGCCAAGGCTTCTGCCCCCATTTACAACAGAGCCTTGAGGGGCACAATAGACACACTTGAAGCTATATTGTTTGTGTCATGTTACAAGCAATCGCTACTCCTCTATGCTAAATAAAGATAATGAACTAGAGAAGTGTAGATTAATCACCAGACTCTGGGCTACAGAATGACTCATTCAGTATCAATGTTATATTTTTAAAACTTTTAAACCTTGGAAAACAAAGTCTATCACGGATTATTTTGCATAGCACGCAAACCCTTTCTTTGGTTTTACAATATCTTTAAAGGGATGGATGGTAGGAGAGGGAGTTTTTAGTCCCATTTCTACCACCTGAGCAAGGGAAATATCAAGGAGGCATTATGTTTTCCTCGATGGAAGTCACTTTTCAGTCATAAGACAACAGCTTGCGAGTTTGGGACATGATTCTCACTTAGGGAAGAGATGTCTGGTTTTCAATTATACAAACCAAAGCAATAGAGTAAATGTCAGAGATGATCAATGGGGTGCAATTGTCGCTACAGATAGAGTGTTCATTGGATCGATAAGGAGGAAGATGGTACTTGATGGGGAAAGTCAGCAATAACCTGACAACACAGACACAAAATACTACCCGAGGGGAAAGATCAGTGAGTCAGTTGTTAAAGACGGGTAATCATAATCTTTCAACTCAGAAGTCCTCTCCTTATCAATACAGGATGAGAGGAGATTCCTCTGCAACTGCTATCATAATTCACTTGTTCCCAAACCAAATCTCACAGGTTTGCTAAGACCATTCCTGGACACAGCTCTGTTTCCTGTATGCTATGAATGTTTGTAATTAAAATCCAGTGCTCAGTTAAAAGAATGTGTCTGTCATTCAGCCCATTTGAAAGTGAAATGTTGAGGCAATTATTGTTATTACCAACCCTGGAATAGTTTCTTTCTATTTCTGTCTCTGGCAGGAGAGGTACTGTGGATGACCTCTGGGTGTCCCTTCCATGCTTCGCTGAAATACCAAAGTGACAACAGGAATATGACACATCAAGCCAAACATGCATCATGTCAGCAAACTAGTGAGAGGGAAAATAGTACCAAACGAATATCCATACAGGAAACACGAAGTGTACGTTCTTAGCTAGCATAGTGGGAGAGTGAGAGTTGGTTCCTTGAGAAAGGTATAATCAACACAGATTTTGTGAGGTATGGTCCATAGAAAGAAAAGCAGAATATTAAAAACAGTCACCAGAAGGGGGAAATAGGGACTTCTTGCTTAATGGATATAGAGTTTCAGTTTTGCAAGATGAAAAATTTCTGGAGAATGGTTGCACAACAGTATGACCGTACAATACTGAACTCTACACTTTAAAATGGTTAAGAAGGTCAATTTTATGTTATGTATATTTTAGCAAAATTTAAAATGTAAAGAAAGGAAAAAAGTTGAGGAAAAAAATCATTAGAAATAGGCCAGAAGAGGTGGTAATGAAGCAAGACACTTTTTTTTGACACTCTGGGTGTACCTGTCTTCTCAACCTGTCCAACTGACACAACAAAAAGAACACTTTGCCCAAACAAAGGGGAGAGCTGGACCAGGTGGGTGTAGTTGCTCCTGCTAATAACTGTCAATCAAGGTTGCCTCTGTGAGCTGGCCGGCACATTTGCTCACTCCTGCCCCCTCGTGTCTGCAGCCTGCAACTACAGGGCCACAAAAGAGGGTTTGGGAGGACCAGCTCAGGAGACCATAGTATCTGTGACCCTCCATGGAACTCTGCTAGAATTACTGCAAAGTTGGAAAAAGAAGGGTGAGGAAGACAAATAAGCTAATAGGGGTGCTTGGCCAAGAATGCAAATCATCAGATTTTGTGACAGAAGGTGAAAGGATCAGCTGGGGGTAGCTGCCCCCACCCTAGGTCTCTGGATCATGTGCAGTATGAGTTGCCAGGCCCACAGGAGCTCACACTAGGGTAGAGCCTCTCAAATTGAGAGGCTTGACCTATCCATGGGCCCTGAAATCAATCCAGTGGATCCCAGCCAGTGCTTTGGATGAAACAGAATTAAATATATCAAAAATGCATAGCACATAACAAATATTGTCTTATACACCATGTGTGTGCACGCACATGCACACCAAACCTCCCTGGCCATAAACTCCCTGATGTGCCTTTACCCAGTCATCTCTAATCTGTACACCAAGGAATCGTGAGAAACTCATTTTAGACCACCAGAGTTGGGTGCCCCAAACTCTGTCACATAACTCACAGCGCTAATGAATAATTTCAAAATGATGGTCAGCTGTTGTTTGACTTTTCTTTGGAAAACTTGTATTTGATGAAAAGGTTTTATGTTATCCTTTTGTTATTCTTTTCTTCAGTAAAACCTCTACTATTCTGACTCATTTGGGAATGAACTATTCTAGATTAGCACATTTTCTGGGTTCTAGGGGTTGTTTGATTCCCACACACACCCTCTAACTCCCACCCCAAGACTAAGAGCTCTCCATCCTACTGGCTTTCATTTGGTGTGCTTTCCTCTGCTTTTGCAAGGACAGGCTCACAGGTATCAGCAGCTAGTCAGCTGGTGCCTGCCTTCTGGCCAATAACCCCACCATCCCAGCCTACCAAGGGCAGCCTCAAGTTCTTGATTGTTGCGGGATGCTGCAAGCTTGCTTCTTTATACAAAAGACACTTCTGTACCCATTTGAGGACTTGGGGCTGTTCCAGGCGCTTACAGGTACCAAAGGCTCATTTGAAAATGCAGGCTTTACTTATTTGCATCATCCATGTTAAATGTCCACTCAAAACATGCTATCTTAAAATTATTCTCAAAAGCAAAAGTTTATTCTTGTGTTACTGTCGCTAACAATCAAGTATTTACACTTTCCTATCCTACCCAACCCCCAAAGGCCAACTTTGGAATTACGGATGTGGAGGTACGAAGGCTCTTCTCTATACTCCCATGGTGAGCCACACACTGGCCAATGCTAACTCATACGACGTTGTTTTTGTGCAAATGAGAAAAAAACATTCCTTCTTCAAGGCTCATTATTTCCATCTGTAGAAAATTGGTATAAGAAACTGATGTTGATGAAAAGGGACATTTAACTGCTATTGGCTAGAACACTGTATTCAGAAATATACAAAACCACAATGTCTAAAATGGAAATAGTAATTGTTTAGAGTGGCACAACCTGCGTAATGGCAGCAGCCCCAGTCCATGTCTCACCCACATATCTTTTATCACTTATTCTCATTTGTCTACATCCTCACTGCCTGCAAGACCAAGTTCAAGGCTCACCATCTCCACAAAGACATGGCTCTTTCTCTGATCAGGCACTGTACTTACCTGCCTCAGCACTTTGTATTCACTGTCCCATAGTCAAGTTACCTTTGGGATTGTCTTTCCATCAAGAGCGCAAGTCCCTTAAAAGCAGGAGCCACGCGTTCGGTATTTTTGTATGTAGAGCGCATGCATATGTTCAGAGCTTAATAAACGATTGTTGGTAAAAGTCATGATATCATGAAATGGTGATAACGTGTTTTATTATTTCAGTTTTCTTTAAAGAAGAACTTCAATTATAGTCACTGACCTAGGTTGAGCTGATAGTCAATAATAGAACTTAAAATGTTACTAACACTGTATTGAGAATTCCCTTAAATCATTTTTCTTCTGAAATAATGAACAATGACAGGTTGTTTTGTTCTGGAAGCATTTGGAAAGCAGCCCTAAAATAGATCCACTCTTTCCCCTGCTTACAGCTCACTCTCTACTCTGGAAGGTTTGAAGAGTTCCAGAGCACACTGACAAAAAGCAATGAGGTGTTTGCCACTTTCAAACAGGAAATGGATAAAGTGAGTATTGCTTATCCCACACCAAGCGTTGACATTTTCTAATTTGACAGGCAATTCTCCTTTGGGTTCATTTTTCTCTTGCTAAGTTATTCCAGTGCATTTCATGAAGTAATGAAACATTTATAGGTGCCAATGTGATTTGGGCTGTATTTTTTATTGGCAAGTATCTGGTGAATTAATCTTAAGAAGAGTCCAAAAACACTAGAATACATTTTCTTTCCAATGAAGACTTTTTTTTTTCCAGTCCCTGGGAAAGTAAAAAAAAAGACAAGAACTAGCAGTTTAACAGTATGTTGTTTATATTGAAATAAAAAATCTGTTCTGAAGATAAAAAAAAATTTATACAAATATGCAAGACTGGAATATTAGAGTATAAAATGCCATTTCATGGGATCCTTCTTAGAGGAGAAGATATGTTGTATGATGTAACTGACAAAGCCTTTCAATGAGAATATGGAAACTTGAACTCAAATTTTGGGTGTGTTCTTACTCATCACACAGTGTTAAACAATTCACTCAACTTCCTTCAATTTTATTGTTTTTATCTATAAAATCAAGGTACTATTTCCCTTGCTTACTTCACAAGAGTAG